TTGTTTTGGACAGAAGCAACAGAAATGTTGCTTACTGTGTTTGGGACATGGAGCTGCCTGTGCAACACAATCTGAGTGCCAGCCATGCACACAGAAAAGGACAGTAATGACTCACCTATATAACAAGATACCTTACAGACCAGGCGACTATATATAGCAGACATGACTCTGGTGTTGCGTTTTCTGTCTTAACCCACTTTTCACCTACTTATCAACAGCAGCTGAACTCTGTACCTTCGACTCTTTCTGCTGCTGATTAAAAATGAGAAGAATAAACAAAGCATCAGGAGAAACTAATGTTGCTTGTAGTGCCACATAGTACATAACTTGGATTATTTTCAGATTTATTCTGCTTGACCTTTTTTGTAGTTAAATGTTGTTTTTTCAGATAATCTGACTAAATCCAAAAATAAATAAATAAATAATTGGGGAAAGAAAGACTAACTTATGTGAAAAGTTGTTGATTTACAATGACTGCATTTTCTGCTTATCTGGCCTGACCGATGCTAGGTTTGTAGAACTAAGTAATCACTTAAAATAGAAGCTGTCCAGCAACATAAAGTAGATTGAAAGATCTCAGGAAGCAACTCATCATGCTGTCTGAAGTGAAACTCTTATGAAAGTTGTATTTTTCGGTAGATCTGATGTATCAAGACGGCGATCAGAACCACACCTCCTTTGGGAGGTTTTGGAGATGGTTTCTGAGTGGCCTAGTAAAAGTCCAAACTTAAATTTGGTGGCATGACTTTAAACAGATCATTGATACTCAAATATTCTCAAATGTTTCCTGATTACAGCGGGAAGAAGATAAAACTAGGGTATACAAATATTTTTAACTGACCGTAAATGCTATGGTGTAATGAAGTAAATATGAGTGTGAACATGAAATCCTTAATGTTTCAGATTTAAGCATTCTGGTTTTGTTCTGGTTAGATTCTGATTTACTTGTTTTCTTGCAGCTACCCCTGCCTTCTCTCCAGAGCCCCGGCTAAGTGGATGTTGTGTCTGCAGAGTTATTAGCGCTGCCGAGCATTGGTGCACACTCCTCCTCCTGTCTGGTTGGGCGCTGCTACCTTGGCAGCAGCCTATTGTGGAAGTGTGTGTGTTTACGGTGCGAGTTGTGCCAGTTTTGAGGACCAGCTGGGTCTTAAGAGATGGCGTTTGCGCTCGCATTTGTTTCTCAGACACGATTGTAAGAGTTTCAGCCGTGTCCTGTTGCTTGTCGACTCGACTAAAACGCTCCGTTTCGCCTAAATCACCACTGTCAGCTTTTTTTTTTTTTTTTTTGTCGTCCACATCCCATCTTCACTCCTTCAGGCTCTCTCCTTTCTTCCCTTACCTCGTCTCCCTCCACCCATTCTTCTGTGTGCGCTAAGGACAGCAGGTCAAGGAGACAGTGATGAGCTACATATCAGTGTGAACCAGAATGTAGATTAGTACCTCTCCAGGCAGAGACACACAAATATAGACGCGCACACACATGAATGCACTCGCCATCCCTTCCTGCCTCTCCCTTTTTGCCATCCAGTGTTTATGTCTCTGTCTTTATCCCTGTGAAAGGTATCAGGCGGAGGTCAATAATGTGTTGAGCACTATTGATCTGTCCGGTAGGTCCTACGGGTGAGAGAGGGGAAGAGGGAAATGGAGAGGTATGGATCAATGCTGTTCTGTATAACCCATCTACATACCGCGCTCTGCCACCCAATCAGATCCCGAGTCTTTTGTTCTCCAATAGATTATTCATCAGCGTTTGGGATCTGTACAGAGGATGAAAAGCAAACACAACATGACGGTCCTCAAAGTGAGCCAAAATCCAAGATTAGAAATGTCTGAGTTGAGGTTTTCTGCCATGATAAGTAGACGTTACAGTGCTAAACCACCACTAGGACTAATTGGTTCTTACCCAGTTATTCAAAAACTTAACCGGGTCAAGACATTCTCATTTAAAACGTATATATGGGTGTAAATGTTTTATAATTTCTCAGTTGCACGCTACATATTTGAGCTGAACGGGAGTGAAGATCATTTTTAAACGACATGAGTCACAGTGTCACCAGGTTTCATATAGAGAATAAAGTTTCATTGAAGTACTTTTTAAAGTATGGGAAAGTATTAGTATTTAGGGACTTTGTCCATATAACTTTGTTTAAAAGTTCATAAATTCATCCATCCACTTGTTCGTCCATCTGTCCGTCCATCCAAAAACAGGGATGATAGAAAGCAGATACATTTGACGAGGAACAAATGGATGAATTACAATGTACATTAATATTAGCAACATTGCTGTTGATTAGTTTTCTAACTTCACCAAAACATTTAATTCACCTGCCTGATAGCAGTATGAAGCTCACACAAAACCTGCTGTAATTTGTGATGATGTAGTTTCACTGTGGATAATTTTTTTTTCTCCTGATTTCTGATCAGCAGTGCGATTGTGATCAGACTTTAAACTCTTAGGAACATTGTTAGATTCCTGCTGGTGATTTATTATATAAAGTCTAAGGGAACCTACAGGTATGTGTGCTTGGTCCTGAACTGTCGATGTATTTTCGTAAAGATTTCACAAAAATAGGTGAAACATTTCCTGTTATGATATTATCAGGAATCAGTATGTTTCAAATGTGGCGTAATTGGCCGTTGAAATGGGATACGGTTTGTTTCTAGTACAAACGGGGTATTATTCTCACCCAGGCTACATCAGAAAGCAGCTTTGGGAAGATGTTCCCGCTCTTTACTGTGACACAGCATCCGTGCAGCTCCATAGGGTAAGGCCATTAAAATGCAGTTTACGGTTTAAACAGCGTAAATATTCCTAGGCATTTGAAAATGTGTCCCAGGGGTTTTGTTGAACTACCTTTAGCTGCTTTAAATGAAAGGAATATATTCTTGTCAGTTGTGCTTTATGCCAAGCATTACAGTTTCTTGACTGTGTGTTTCTTACTCAGCAGCCGACTTTTCCCGAACTTGACAGCAGGAAGAGAAATTATTCAACTTAACTTTTATAATAAACTAATTAGTTCATTATGAATGCCTCATTCCTCTACCTGCATGTTTCTTAAGCATTAGAAGTTGTTGTTTATCTTCTGTTTATCTTCCAATAGATTTACTTTCTGTATGAGTTACAGTTTTTCCAAGATTTTACCAACAAGCTACTGTTTCGCTGTGAAAACAAAAAAATAATCATATTGATGGCACAAAAAAAATAAATAAATAAAAAAAACGTCAGTTGGATCCTTTTGTTTTTCCTCAGGCCAGTAGGTTTTGATAAAGCCCGACTGCATGCTAAACCTACGCTCCAATCTTGCTGGCGGCAGTCGCTCGGTCTCCACACTCTTTAGTTTGCATTTGGTTTAGGTTGTGCAAATGTGAAAGTGGATGTGAAGAATTATTACCAATGATGCTCCATAACAATAAGAAAAGAGCTGCAAATTGACTAGAACAACAATATATATATTTTTTTTTTCTTCCAAACTATGGTTTTTCCTGCTAGCCCTTTTTTTCTTCTTCTTCTTTTTCTTTCTCACTCCTCTATCTCCAAACTCACTCTCTGGATCCCTCTCTCTCCCCTGCATCTTCTCCGTCTCTGTCTGTGCTCCTGGAGCGGGGGATGCCAGGGGGACAGAGTGCAGATAGGACCTGTCGCCATAGCAACAGCTTCTGCAAGCTGCTGACACCCTACTGTGGGGGTGGCGGGGGGATGGAGGGGGCTGAGAGGAGGAGCAGAAGAAAAGGTTGTGAGGGGGAGGCACAGCGTAACGGTCGGGGCACAAGGAGGTTTGGGGGGGGCATCGATGGAGCAGAGGAAGCTGTACAGAGGACACAGGAAGAGGGGGCGGGGGGGTCTGGAGGCAAGGAGGCAGCGACCCCGCGTCTACCCCTGGGATTCAGTGCCCTGCTCATGTTCACAAGCAGAATTAGCATAATGATGGGAGGGGGGTGCGTTGTTTCAGTCTCTGTGTGTCCGTAGGAAGAACGGAGAGTGTTTCTGTACATGTGTGTGTAATCAGACGGCAGTCCTGTCTTCCTGGCGTACAGTAGCATCACATGGGCGCCGAGCGCTCTGGAGGTGTGCGTGTTGCTGGATCGGGGGTCTTGAACCCCCTCCACTCCTCTGTTCTCGCCTGTAGCCTGCGGTCCACCCCTGTCTGTCTCTCTGTACCGAGGGGCTGCACTTTATGAGCCTGTGATGCAACTCTTTGTGTGTTTGTGTGATTTTCCTGTTCATGTTTGAGTGCTGGTCTGATCTTTTGTTTTTGTTTTTTTTGGGGGTGGGGGGTTTCCAGCTTGTAAGCACTCTGAACATGCATTTTGTTTTACCCATGTTGTCAAGAACACACTGTATCATGCTTAGCCTGCAAGCTGCTCTACATCTCTTTCTGTGGTTTTTATTATTACAGATTTTGCATTATCTTCAGGTCTGGAAAAATATTGAACTTGATTTTAGCTTGATTTTTTGGGGGGGGATTGATATAAAATTAATATATTTATATTCACTGGTTTTGTCATGTGTTTATTTGTTGACATGATGGAAGTCTGACAGTTTTAATTTAATAAAATCTCTTTGACCCCAATGTTTTTGTTTTAAGAAAAGATGCTGATAAAGTATTATCTGTTCTTCCTTTCTTTTTTCTTCAATCCTTCCTAGCAGGTTCCATGTTTCAGTGGAACCTTAAACATGGACTTAATGCAGAAACTTATTCTAAATATTGGAGCTTATGTCTTTAAAAAAAGATAAAACTGACAGGGAAACTCAAAAATGTTGGTCTAGAAAAGTATGGACAAATTAGATTACTGTACTCCTACAGTAATATGTAGGAATACTGCTTTGTTATTTGACTCTGACAAAGAGAAACTGTTGTGTTACATAAGTTAAGTTTCCATTTAAACAAAGTTCTTAAATATTTTGCATGAACCAGTGTAATACAGGTGTTGTGAGTTCCTGCCCAGTGTGCCGGGCTTGTGGAGCGCAGGCTAATTTAGCTGTCGTCTGTGTGTTTCAGAGCGCAGCGGCAGCGCCGAGCCCAGTGATGGGCAACATGCCCCCCAACGACGCCATGCCAGGTGGTCCCATTCCCCCAGGCTTCTTCCAGGTATAACCCGCCTCCTCTCTTCCCACTTGTTACATTCTCAGTGTCTCTCATTCATCCCTTTGACCACTCCTCAAAAAAATTACAAACAACCAAATAATTTAAAATTATATGTAGTATGAAGACTAATTGTTCAGAAAGTGTCCACTGAACTTAATTTGACAAAATTGTTTTGTTTTACTGTCTGATGGACAGAAAATAATACATGGTTCTTACATATATATATAAATTCAAATCTGATAAGTGTGGCCTGAACACACTTATCAGAGCACATTTACCCTCTTTTGATACTTTGATACGTAAAATAAAATCTATTATAACCATTACATTCTGAAATCACCTAATTATCTATTTCAAGAGTCAATAGAACATTTCTGCAAATGCTTCAGTGTTTTGAGATTGAAAAACAAAACAAAACTAAACCATATTTAGGTTATGAATCAACTTTTTAAGCTTTAGATATCTCACATAGAACAATTTGTGTGCCTGTGTTGAGAGGTCCAGATGAATGCAAAACACTAAACAGAGGCGTAAGTGTTTCATAAAGTAGTTGTGATTTGTGGATATCTTTTATTGTTATTTGCAACGTTCTTGGTAAGCGTGGGAAGATGAGACACAAACTCAACAAACATGTCTGTTTAAGGAGTTCGTTGTAATTGTTACTCAGGTTTGCAGTTCTGGGAGTTTTATTTACCTTCTGAGTAAATGAGGGAGATTATTTACTCAAAACCAGCTGAGACTTATTCGACCTGACTCCGTCCATTCATCTGTGGCTCAGCTCTCACTCCCATCGACGCTTCAACCATCCCGTGTCCATCTCTCCGTTCCACCCATCCATCTCTGTTTCTGTCCCTCTCTGACCCGTCCCAGCTCTGTAGCGCCAAATGGGGGCGGGGAGGGGTTCTGTGTTGGAGAGCCTCTAAGAGCGAAGAGAAGGCGGCACACCAATGTGTGTGAGCACCCACAAACAAAAGCACATGCTCTCACATCCTCTGCGAGGCAGCAGCCTGATGGACAGCGGTGGCATTTGGCAGGAGGCGCGATAAGGTAGCGGCGACGAGTGGGAGCTAAAACGCGGGTGACACAATATAGGAGGGAGGAAGAAAATTGGAGTGGAAGAAGAGAAGGGAAATGTAAAAGATGGTTGCTACCGCACTGAGGCCTCACATCCTCATGGTGCGCCGGCTCGTTGGTGGTGAGGAATAGTGAAAGCACGACTGTAAATAAGGAAGGAGGGGAGAGGGGGGTGACGACGCGAGATGCATGGAAGTGCTATTTTTATCGTCAGTGGGAGAGTGAGATTGGGCGTGGGTTTGTGTGTCTGTTGCGTTCAGGGGAACTTATGTTTCCAGAAAGCTGCTTTGCTTCACAACACATTGTGCAGAATTTTGTTTCTATTCTTATTAGTGCTGTGGTCAGTGGCATGCCTGACTCCATAAGAAAAAAATAAAATGCATGTAAGAAGCAACGCACCTACAAGTTAAGTGTTGCACAGGAGGCAAATCTTGTTTTAACACAATTCAAACAAGATGAAGGCGACAGCTATAAAGATTTCTTCCACCTTATAGTTTGAACGGCGCTTTGTGCAAGTAAGCTTTGAGCTTTGATCAGTTTGTTGCTTTGATAATTAAATATTTGATAGCAGCAGCTCTTACTCGCACTCTTAAACATTAAAGGATTCCTTCACACAAAACTTTGATTTAAATTAAATGTTTAGATATTTGAAGGCTGGATTAGCACATTGTTTTCTGAACAATATGCTTGTCTTGTTTTTTTACAGAACAAATGCCCCTTATGGATTATTAAAAAGCATGCCCACATGAGTTACCTCCATATGGAGATGCACTGACAACAGAGTTTCTTGTTGTTCAAAGACTGTCATTTGTTCCCAACTCAAATTTCTGTTTGAGTAATAACATTACAAATATTTCGAAAGGTTTCTTAGTCTTCATTGGTCATTACTTATTTAAAATAAGAGCAGAGGCAACGTCACATGGTGGTAGGAAAAAAAAGGTTTGTCTTAAATTGTCATACACTTTTAAACTTTGCAGATTGTCTTTTCTATCCTGTTAGCAGTTAGCAGAGTTAGCTTGGGAAGCGTTATGCAAACTTTTTGTGTATATTCTAGAAAATACGGTCTGTTTATTATATTAAATGTTGGCATAATGGGTGAAGAGGGTTAAATTGTACTATCTGCAGGCCTGCCTTCTTACACTCCTCCAACCTAATCTTAAACCTTTCACTGATACAGATTATATCTTCTTCCCTCAGTCACTGTGGCCACACGGAACAGCACTGTTGTCAGTTGCATTAAGCGTGGTGCGTTCACCGGTTGGAGGAAAAAAGGTTGGAACTGACTATTCCTCAGGTTGGGATTGAGGACTAGTCAGCCCCAACTAATCCTCAGGGTTGATTTTGATTAATCAAAATCAAATAATTTTGACTAATTTTAGATTTAATTGTAGAATTAAAACAAATGCTACACAAATGAGCTCGTATGTTTTTATGGTGTTCAGAAAGTTGATGGGCTTTGAATCAAACATCAAATTAGAAATCAGTATTGACCAGTAAAAGCCTGACTGGAACTGCATTTGGCCCTGAACATTTAGAGATGGTGCCATCTCATGTCATTAATATTATTTATGGGTCTACTAATACATTTTCACAATTTGTTTAATTTGAGAATGAAGTCTAGAAAAACTCTAGAATTTACTTTGCATGTTTTCCAGCTTGAAACACATCACTTATTAACAGCTAGTTGTTTTTTTTTTAACACCTAGTTGTTTTTTTTAATAATGTCAATGCACTTTTGCACCAAACATCTGCAAAGCCAGTGTAGGAAACAACCTGCTTTAGGTGACAGTATTAAAATTAGAGACAATAAACATCACTTTGTTAATAAAAGGCCATTTTGCAGAATTCTCCTAAATCCAAGTTTCTACCTGGCTGAAAACCATCATGTGTTTAAGAAACTTGACCCTACTCAACATTCATACTTTTTTAAAAATATTTTGAGGCACTGACCTCTTCAGGGAAGTCTCATTAGGCAATAATAGTAAAACAATCTTTACGGGATGTTGCCATCTTTCTGGCTCCTCTCATCCTCGCACTGTCGTCTAAATCCGGTGTGTTTAGAGACAGAAGAGATGAACTGTCTGATCTGGAAATGTAACAGCTTACAGTCTGTTGCGGTCCTCTGAAGAATTGATATCAGGGTTCATAGATCCATGGCAAAGCACATCATAAATAAACTGCAAAGTAAAATGAGTGCTGTCCAATCAGGGCTCATCTTTAACTTATCCACTGATCAGTCACAAGATTTAAGTTGATCACAATAGAAAAGGAGAGAATATGCGACCACTGTAGACCTTCTACGAAATGACTGAGCTCTTGAACTGTGCAAGGAGAGCATTAATCAGTGAAGCAGTCAAGAGGAACCTGGTGACTCTGCGGGAGCTGCAGAGATCCACAGCTCAGGTGGGATAACATGTTGACAGTGTAAGTCATAGACTTAACAAATCTGGCCACTTTGAAGGATTTGGTCAGCAGATAGTTGTTGAAAGCTGTAATTAACCCCATTTTCAGTTTAACGTAGCAAACATGGAAGAATGCGCTCTGGTTAGAACAGACTGAAACTTTTTGTGGCTGCATGTAAAAACCTGCTGAGTTGTAGAAAACCCTGAAAAAAATAATCTCCCACAGTGAAATATATTGGCAGATGCATCAAGCAGGAACTATTTAAATGAAATAAAATAAAAACTGTCAAAAGCATGTGTCATTTTTCTTCCATCCGCTGCTTACGTGGATGGACTTGCACAGAAAACCTCGTCTGGTTATGAAATGAAAGGTTTTCACCATTTCTGATGACACCTTTAAGAGCCCGAGCATTAGATGTTGCTTTGAGACATTTGTCACGACAGGTTCCTCTGAACTAGTTATTCTCAGGCTAACTTTGAGCGCACACACTCCCTGACGCTCTCCGGTCGCCAACGTGTTGCCTCTCTCTCCTTGTGTGTCCGGGTGTCTTGGAGGGAAAGGTGGAAAATTCCACTTGCTATTTGTGAATCTGCCACTCATTGTTTTGGAGGGGAGAGCTGGAAAAGGTGGGAAGAAAGTAAAACATTGAACCTTGTGTCACGTAAAGATGTACAGTATTTATCAGAGGTTTTTAACCTCCTGTCCCGCGTGGAGAAGTCAACGGTATGATGTGTGAGCGTATTTGTGTGTCGGCACCGGAACACGACTCTGTCATGAAGTAGGTTTCCAGAAAAGCTTCTGTATTTTTGTTTTGTTTATTTTGTTTTTGGTCGGCGTTCTTCTCTGGATGCTCGTCTGTGCCTCTGCTTGGCTTGTTGGTAGTAAGCCTTTGATAACACTGCCCCCATGTGGTTGAAAGTAGAACAGTCCCGGTACGTAACCAGGTGGCGGAAACGAGCAACGCTTATGGTGTGACAGGGTCACTTTAAGGCCGTGTATAAAGATGCTACTTGTCAATTAGTTTGGGGTGTTTCTTTCTTTTTTTTTTACCCCAAAAAATAAGCAGCGTTTTCCTCTCAACTTCCTCCTCCAACGTAAACACTCCTTCCAGACTCCCTACCAACATGGTTTTCCTCTCTCCTGTGACTCTGATCGGGTTCTTCCTCCAGGTGTGAACCCCACATTCTGCCCCCTCCCCTCTCTGATATCGCTCTTCTTTCTTAAAGGGACCGCCCGGCTCTCAGCAGTCCCCCCATGCACAGCCCCCCCCACACAACCCCAGCAACCCCATGATGGGACCCCATGGCCAGGTAAGAAGCAGCAAACACTTTCTCTCAAACACCCCGTCATTCCCTGACCCACACACTCCAGCTTTCTCTTTTCCCATTTGCTACCTGCACTCTGTCCTCCGACCACCCTGGAGCCCAACAAGAGCTACATTTGTTCAGGCGAACTCCCCCACTAAAGGAAGCCCCTGCAGTTGTGAGCTCTTTTTTTTTTTTCTTCTTTTTTTTTAAATAAATAAAAGGGAAAAAAATGTAAAAAGCCAAGCAACCTCTCGAAGGCCGAGAATCGGTTGTCCCCGTGCAGGATGAATAATTCACTCCCTGCCCCTCCCCCGGAGCAGCTTGTGGGGGGTTACACACTTATCTGCTCCAGCCTGAACACACACAAACATGCGCACACACCCCTCCCCCTCACTTCTCGCATCCAATAAATAAAACAGCAGACAAGCAAAATTAACAATCGCATACGTGTCCACCAGTTTCATACAGAGTTTTTGGTTATCAACATGAAGGAAGTTCAGCCGTCGTGCCTCGGCTACAGCAGCTACAGACGCCACTGTGGAGGTGAAGCTAGGCTTTTGCCCATCAACTGCGGCGGCTCGGCTTTTCATTCTTGTGGTTTCCAGTTTCTTTCTTGTGTGCGAGAGAGTGTGGGCACGCTTCCGCTGAGGGTTTTGAACCGTGTCGTTGGCCCGAGGTGTCTCCGACTGCGCCAAGGCAGACCACAGGGCCGAGTCGGCTTACACCAAAGCGAGAGCAGGGAAGACTCTCGCACACCGGCACTCAAAACAAGCTTTCAGTCCATCTTGTTGGGTATAAGTGCGCTTTTACAATTTATACCGCACAAGCTCATGCAAGGATGTTTTCCTTTTCGGTTCCTCGTCGGATAAGCTGCTGATTTTGCAGTTTTCCGATGTTGTCATCCATTTTCCAGCCGCGCTGTGTCCATCTGTGTGTTCTCTGTGCTTTCTCTGTTTGAGTGCTTTTGGATTTATCAATAATAGAAATGTCATTTTCTCTGTGTCTCTTCCCCACCGCCCTTGTTTTTTCCTCTCTTTTCTGTCGTCCTTCTTCCACTTTATTTTTTTTTTCTGGTCCCTTCAGCCTTTCATGTCGCCGCGGTATCCAGGTGGTCCACGCCCCTCACTCCGAATGCCAAATCAGGTAATCGCCTGTTTGCATCAAATTTCCATTAAATCAACTGTGTGTGTTATTATGTTGTTGAGTTTTCGTGTCTGTTCTGTATCCAGCCTGGGGGAATCCCGGGATCGCAGCCTCTCCTGCCAAACAGTTTGGACCCAACAAGACCGCAAGGTAAGGCTGAAGAACCTCTAGCTTCCCTTGTCGACCGAGAGGTGTTCCTCAGGGATTCCTTCTTGTGTCGCTCTTATTTATTTTAATCAAACTAACTTTTGATGCTGACAATACTGTGATCAACATTCATCAATTTACTCTTCTGTAGACTTTCTGCCTGGTAGTTTATGTATTCAGATTTAAAATCCTAGTCTTTAGGCCTTCAACCAGTTGCAACAACGTTTTAAATACGCTTTTCTTCATTCCTGAAATCACCTTAATAGCTAGCTAAATCTAACCTTTAAACAATGCACATGTAAAAATGGCACATTTGTTAATCTTCTATGTATTTTTTTGGCCTTTTTAACTAAATGGTGGGTGTGTTTGACTCGAGGAGGAATATGTTGTGATTTTGACTGGAGTCTAGAGGGCTACAGCTCATGGGATTACGGCAGTGCATTGTCTGTTGCATTGCTGACTTAATTCCTGACTTTTAGGAGTTGAGACATATGTGCTTGTGTGTTTATGGTGTGACTCTTGTTCTGTTTTTCTTTCTGCCAGGACATCCTAATATGGGTGGACCAATGAGAATGAATCCTCCCAGAGGAATGGCCATGGGACCACAGGTACAAATAAGGAAAATGGAGGGTTTTTTTTCTCTTTTTTGACTGATTCAAATGCATTTTGAGTTTTCTCACATTTTTTTTATGCCCCGTTTCTTAGAACTACGGAGGCATGAGGCCTCCTCCCAACTCCATGGGGGGTCCCATGCCAGGAATGAACATGTAAGTCCAGTGAAATGCTCATTAGCTCACAGGTACCTTAGTCAGCCTGTAGTTGCTCTTCTCTTCCTTTGAGTATCACTGGACAAACAGTGCCTCCCCTCCTCCACCTGTTGCAGCCTCTGAAGTTCAACAGCTGAAAGAAAGTTGCTACAATTTTTTTGCTAATTTCACCTACTCTTTGGGTTACTTGTTTTAAATGGATCGTTCACGCCACATTGGCCGTTTCATAAAGAATATATAAACTGTCAGTTTGCAGTTGGCACAACCTGCATTTACAAAGTAGTTCAAATACGAGAGGATGGTCATGTATAGATCCCTATTGGAGGAAATCCAGGTCACTAACATAAATAAGTTACAAATAAAGTAATAAATATGTAGAATAATTCTACATATTCTACACTGAGCATACAAATAGTCCTAAATGGAAGAAGTAGGATTATTAATCTGCATGTACAGACACTTCAACCAACATATCATTAGCCGGTCTTTCCTTCAGTATGAATTCCTGTAGAGTTTTTCAGGTTTTCAGATCATGAGAGGAATGTCATGGATCAACCCTAAACTAAAACACAATTCATCTTGAAACCTAGCTTTTGCTTTTCTGACTTGAAGCACAATTTTAGTGCCATAAGCATTTTGACTTTGAAGCTAGAACATTATTTTAGCAAGTTGAAAATCTACACAAGCTGAAATGGTTGGTTAATTTATTTTAAAACATATACTGCTTTTATATATATATATATATATATATATATATATATATATATATATATATATATATATATATATATATATATATATATATATAAATAATGTTTTTTTCTAGTCAGTCTTTTATTGTCAGAAAGTCTCATCTAAGGTGTTTTCTCTTTCTGACCAAATGTTTCTACACTTTTTTCTCTTTGTGTCCTGCCCCATCTTTTCCTCAGGGGTCCTGGAGGAAGGGGGCCATGGCCAGGACCTAACGCTAACTCAGTGAGTCCGAGTCTTTGCATGAACACACTCAAAACCAACATAGCAGACGATTGGTGGATATATTCTACTCTTGATTCTGAATAGTCATTTCTAAGCAGGTGTACCAAAATTTTGTTGCTAGTCACAATAAGTACTGAGTATTTTTGAGGATTTAATTTGAAAGAGCAACACAAAGTTGTTTAAATACAAAGTAAAATTGTTACATAATGTATTTATATATATATATAGAGAGAGAGAGAGAGAGAGAGAGAGAGAGAGAAAGAGAGAAAAGAGAGAGAGAGAGAGAGAGAGAGACAGAGAGACAGAGAAAGAGAGAGAGAGAGACAGAGATTTTAGCTAAAAGAATAATATTTTTCTTTTCAAAATGTTCCCAGTTCAGTCACAACTTCAGCTATTTTTAAGTCTTTTCACAGATTTTCAGTTGAAATAATGTCTGGTCTTTGACTAGGCCATTCTGTGCTTCAGTTTGAACAATTTCATCAGACTCTGACCATATGTTTGAACCTAACCCTTCTCTCCAGCCTCAAGTCTTTGAAAGCATAAGACATGTCTTTCTTCCACCTTTGCCCTGCATTTAACTTAACTCTGACCCTGCAGCCACCACCGTGCTTCATTTTGCTTCATGCAGAGCTTTGAATGTAGTTCAGTTTTGCAGAGAGCTGAACTCATGTCATTTCAACAGGTCTAATTATCAGAGTAAAGTTGGCTCAATGCAAATACATACTGTACAGATTTTTACTGTAAGTTGGTTCTAACCACTGTTCCCTCTGCAGATAGCTTACTCCTCATCATCACCAGGAAACTATGTGGTGAGTCAAAGTGTAAATAAGCCACTTTATTAAGACATGTCTTCTGTTTATGTGATTTGTAAACCTTTAATTTTGTTTCCCAGGGTCCACCGGGTGGAGGCGGTCCGCCTGGAACTCCCATCATGCCCAGCCCAGGTGGTGCGTCACCCAATTATGTCCCCTGTCACAAACACACATCTATCTCTCTCTGTTCATTTCCTCACTAAACAATCTTCATTATTTTTCGTTTCTCATTTTCCCCGTCTTGCATTTTCTTTCTTTTGATCCTTTGTCCTTCACTCCATTAAATCCTTTTTTATTATTATTATTTTTTGTGTGACATCATCACTTAAATAACTTGTCATTAATGTAGTTGTGTTATTTTTCCTAGATTCAACCAACTCCAGTGAAAACATCTACACAATGATGAATCCTATCGGACCTGGAGGCAACAGACCCAATGTGAGTTTTTGTTACAGGATCAATTATTTACGGCAAAGATGAAAACGTGAATGTTGCTCCATGAAGTTGCTCTAACTGTATTAGTGTTGTTTAACATCAGGAGAGACACTAGGATTAACCCAGGGAGTCTGAATTAAATCACTTCAGCTTTGCCTCCAAAGATTACAATTATATCTACGAGTCCGCAGAGAGAAAAATGATCTCAGTCATTCATAATTCCCTCTCGTCAGTTCCCTATGGGACCGGGGCCTGATGGGCCAATGGGAGCTATGGGAGCCATGGAGCCACATCACATGAATGGATCACTAGGTGGGTTGAGACAGTGCAACTTAGCAACTCATATAACATTTTTTTTTGTTTGTTTTTTTCTTTCTTTCTGAAAGCACTGAAATCTGTGCTTTACATCCTCAGGGTCTGGGGATATGGATGGGTTGCCAAAGGTGAGTAAACATCTTCTTTAAGCATTTGCTTTTTTGCTCCAGCGGCGCTTCAGTCGCATCTTGTATTATTACTGTTCGACCCTCTCTCCCACCAGAGCTCTCCTAACAATATGGGAGGCATGAACAATCCTCCCGGGACGCCGCGGGACGACGGCGAAATGGGCGGCAACTTTTTGAACCCATTCCAAAGCGAAAGTGTAAGTGGAGTGGAGTGAGTTGGCGACATTTCACACCCTTTAACGATTTGTCCTCTAAAATCCTGACATAAAACAGTGGAAGAATGCAAGCAGAGGGTTTGGATGATTGAAATTTAGGAGTGAAATAAAGTGCTAATTCGTCCCTATTGCAGTACTTTATTTAAGAGAAGTTTACATTTTTCAATAGAAATCTCAGTTTTGCAGACTGTACTTTTCCTTTGTTTCTATTTTTATACAATCTTATGTTTTCTGCAGCTCAAAACCAACAAGGTAAATCAAATCAAAGTTGAATAAAACCCTTTTGGGACATTTTAAAACAGTCTGGATTCATGGGCATGAGGCCGTATTTACTTTAATGATTCATTCGGACTGTTCTTTTTTAGAGTGGAATGAATTATAGTGAATGCTAATACACAAATTAGAAACTAGAGTTAAATCAACCAATCCAGGAGTACCAATCTTTTCCCTTGGTATTGATTGGTTGAACCCCCAAGAGCAGATGAGGAAGACATTAGATACTGGTTTCTGTGTTAGCACTAGTACATATTTTAACGCACAGTTATATTTCACAGCCTCACCTTCTTTCTTCAAATTTCTCTGAACTTTATCATTCTGACCGAACAGCTTAGTCTTTCATAGCTCTGCTGAGGACTACAGATGGTGCTGATTCTCTCCAGCTTGGTGGGGATGAGTAAAGTTAAACAATTTTAGTTTTTAAAATTATTTAAAATGTTTGTTCCGTTGAAATGAATCATTAAAAGCTCTAAGTTGTTTACACTCAGTCCATGACGAGTGAATAGTAAGATCTGCACACAAAAAGGAGTCCATACCTATCGTCAAAAATTCATCTTGAATTGTGAAATTTTGGGTTCCTGCTTATCAAACTCAAACATGGTTATTGGACATCTGGGCCTCAAGATCCAAAATAGACGTATTTTAGAAGCAATCTCTTTTTTTAAATCTCAAATATTTTCTAGATTTAGACTCTTTTTAAGCTGAACTTTACATGTTGGGGCACAGCACTCTAAATTTTGTTTTTAGCGACAAAAAAAAAACAACTACTTTTATCCACATATATTCTTGATAACAGCTTGTGTTCTGCTTGCATTGTAGCCGCTTACTAATCTCTTAGAACTTCATTCTGTTCCTCTGTATCAGTGACGTGATTATAGTCGATTGATTGAACTGTAAGTGAAACTCTCAAAGCAAACAAATTGGGTCTGGTTCCCGTAACGGGTGGGAGGTGATGGGTTTGGTTCCCTGCGTTGTGTAAAATGTGTGATGCTCTCTTACCCTCATCCTGCAGAGCCACAGGGTTCACAGGATGTTCAACAAGCTCTGATAAAAGGCTGCAGCTGCTGTAAACTTAAAACAAAACACATCTGATTCATTATTGGAGCAATCAAGTTGTTCTCCGCATCTGCTCCCAGTCTTGTCTGAAATGACCAGGGGAAAAAAAGCAGAATACTTTTTTCTTCCTTTCTTCCTTATTTAAGTGATAGTTAAATGGCGATTTCCTTAAAATTGTGCTTTCCACCTGAATTTATGACAATCTGATAAATATTGTAGCCTAACAAGAACTGCAGCTAGTGAAGTGTAGCTAGTGCTATTATAAAAGGACCCATTGGCCTTTTTTCTGTTTTAAAAACAGAATAAAGAGGTGCTTTATAGAATATGTTGCCCCTTTTCCATTGGCCCCATGTTTAGCGAATACCAAATCATTCCAACTGAACATCTGAAAAAGTAGGGAGGACAAAAAGTGCCTATTTATCTCACTATCTGAGCAGAGGCCAACTCCAGTAGATTTGTGGGAAATTCAGAAACTAAAATCCAAATGGTTAAACATCTGGTGCTCAAATATCCAGAATGCTCTGAAAACTAATTGTTTTGTAAATTTGAGTCTGGAAAATTGAAGAGGAAGCCATTTTGGAACCCTGACCTAAGAGCGCCGCAGCAAAGCATGCTTATCTCTGAAAGCAGTTTGACCTCCCTTCCTGTTTGTTGAAGACAACAGAATCATGACAGAGCTGACTGATGGGAGTCTGTTGTATAAGCAGCCTGACTCAGACCTCAAGTCTGTGCTTCCTGTGGCTCTGCAGGCCTGGATCTGAGTGCCCTCTAGTGTTTAATCGTTGTCAGTGATATCTCCACTCATTTCTGCCCTCCTCCTCCCCCCGCCCCCTCTCTCTCTTTTCAGTATTCACCCAACATGACGATGAGTGTGTGATTTTCTTTTTTTTTCTTTTTAATCTTTCTCCCCCAACTTTTTGTGACTCTGCACCTGATTTTTTTTATTTTTATTTTTTATCATTTTCTTCAATCCTAACTTGACCCTCGGACTGACCCGCCTCCCCTCATCGCACCCCCCACCCCCCACTGACTGCGCCCCGACCCCGCCCTCCGTCTTTCCTCTCCTCCCTTGGGGAACCGGTGCGGCCACGCAGCCTTCCGGGAGCGCCCTCGAGCATGCTGGGACTCTAATTAAGACGGGCCCTCCTGGAGCGTGCAAAATGGCCGCCGGCGTGAACAGGAAGCAGTCGCAGGGCAGCAGGAAGGGCCTCCTCTCAGACTCCGGCCCCAGCCTCCCCGGCTTTCTCTCGGGGTCTAGACAATGAGCGAGGGGATGGAGGAGACCGGTGAGCGCCGCCGTCCCTCATGGACTCTCTTCGCAGCTGCTGGGAATCTCATCAACGATGGATTTTTTTTTTTCCATCTTTTCTGGTTTTTGTTTTTCCTCCCAACAGATTTCATGGAGGGCCCTCGATGTCGCTCCAACATTGATTTTTTTTTTTTCTGTATGTGTACATTTGTAACAGAGTTGTTGTGATGATCAGTGAACATGTTTTTCCAAAATTCTTTTGTGTATGTAATGTATCATTGCTATTTTTATTTTAATTGTATTATTTTTATGATATTGCTATCATTTTAAGATTAAGTTTTTATTTTTGTTTGTTTGTTTTTAGGGGCACACTGTTTAAATGAAGACAGCACATGTGCGCACACACACACACACACGCGTGAGTCTCAAATACAGATTCCTCTCATTTAGAATATCATTGGAAAGTTAATTCATATCAGAAATTCAATTCAAAATGTTAAATTAACCAGAGTTGAATGTTTTAAGTGTATATTTAAGTTGGTGGTTATAGCTGACGGCTGATGAAAATACGAAATGCGGTTTCCAACAAAATTTAAATGAAAACCATCAAAAAAAAAAAAATTAATAAAGTAACTGAGAAGTATGTCCACTCTTTATATTCACTCAGTACTTGACCCGGGTTCCTTTTGCATTAATTTTTGCATCAGTAGATTCTCTGCGGAGCTTTAAGTCATGCAGGTTTTCCAGCTCATCAAGCTCGGACTGCACAAAAACAAAAAAAATGTGCTGCTGAACAACAGTACAGTCTTTGTTCTGTTGACTTTGTGTCGGCTTGAGGAATGTGACAGCTGTTCTCCGTGTTGGCGCATGTAATCATGCACTATCACTTTTTTCTTCCACCCAGTTTTCCATTAACATGCTTGCAGCAGGGTGTTTGATCACGGTCAGGTCAGAGGTCGCCATCTTAGCTGAAGCTGCATTTCAGATTTTCTATTGGCTGTTGACCTTGATCAGCTGGATTAAATGTATCACTCTGTCAGTTTCACATTTTGAATTTAAACACTGAAATAAATGTTTTGATGATATTCAGACTCACTGAGAAGCACCTGTAATTTGCCGCACATCACATGGCTTTCTGTGAGCACACTGCCCCCTGCTGGTGGGATTTTATTTCATCCATTACGGTACCTATTGAGCATTTTGAAAACATCCAGACCTTTTCACTCCCTTGCTCATCAGCAGCAGCAACTCTGCCTCTTGCTTTTGTAACTTTGCTGCAGTAAAATAATAATAATAATAATAATGATGATGCACAGCTCTATTTATTTATGTACTTTTAATTTGTTTATAAATTCTTTCCTTTTTTTTTTTTAAGTGTCATCCCTGTTTTTGTTTGTCGTCGATTGCAGAATTGGTAGCAACTGTATAAATCTGCAGATGCACTCAGCAGAGTCCTCCATCTGAGCCCGAAAGGTTCTGTCCACTCCACCCCACCGTCCTCTGCAAACTTTGCCATCCTTTTGGTCTGACTGTGCCGTTTTTGGAGCTTGCTTTGCCGAAAGGAAGGTCTTGGAGCCGCAAATCTCTGCTCCGTTGATTAAAAGAGCAATGTCCCTCCGTTTCCTCCTCCGTCCTTCTCCCCTTATTCTCGTCTCTCCATCAGGCTGGGATTCTCACACAAACACCACTTTTCCCCCCTTCCTTCATTTCTGAATTGTTTTTGTACAACTCCATGTTTTTTTTTTTGTTTTTTTTTTGTTCTGTTTTTTTTTTTTTTTTTTTTTTTTGTTGTTTTTTTCCTTTTTGTAAATACTGTAAAATGCATTTTGATATCATTGACATGTTTTGATATTTCAAATCACAGCTGAACAGTTGATCAGTAGCGTGCTGATTCAGGCAAACTGTGTGTACTTTTAACCAGAAATGATATAAAACTTAAAAAAACCGGAGCTGCTATAGACGATTATGCTATTTCACCTCACAACCCATATTATTTGGGGGCTAGGGCGGCCTCTCTGTGCTGCAGCTGTGCAGGACAAAAGGAGGAAAATGACCTGTAGTTAGTTCTGGGATAAGTCATCGACACATGTTTTAAACATGGTGCATTCTTCTTCTTTCTGTTTTTACAATTTTTGGCAGAATTTTCAAAGACCGAGTGCAAAAACAAATGACACTTGGTCTCGGATGCACTGCAGCTCAGCTTCTTTTGACTCGACAACAAAAACAAACAAAGCAGGGCACACAGGACACTGGCTCTCAGTCCAGCACACCGGAGATCAGAGTACATACTTTACTATACTATGAAGGATTTTCTAATCTATTTAAAATCAGGCAAGAGAAACGTTTGTGGAAGTAAAGAGGAAGGAAGGCGAGAAAAAGCCACATGGACATATTTGTTGCTAAGATGAGGTGGAGAAAGTGCGTCAACATGCGTTTTCTCCCATGTACTTTAATACTGTTGTATAAAATGCAGTCCGACTTCTCTTTCTGTCCTGTAAGCAAAGCCGTCACAATGTTGATCATTACTGTATTTCTATCGTGCTGATGTATAATACTGTAACATTAAGGGATGGGGAAGGTTAAGAAAGGACTTTTGAGCAGAATTGGGAGTAAAGATTTTTTTGTTTTGTTTTGTTGTTTTCTTTTCTGTTCGGTTCCTCATTATTTCCTCCTGATGACAAAGCAGTATTGAATATGAGGCAGGAAGTTGCTTTGTATATCATGTTAGGGTAGTTTCAGATCCTAAATGTCTTGTGTAGTTAAAAAAAGAGGTTCCTTCGTATGTTTCTTTATATTGTAAAGTTACTTTAGACAAAAAAAAAAAAGTTGCTTATTGGAAGAAAAAAAAAAGGTTGGAAATCTACATCGATGCTGATTAATGTACTTTATTTTATTGTTTTGTTTTAATTTCCATCAACTTGTCGGTCGTTTTTGCCTGTGTCCCCCTTGTTGTAGATACATATTAAAAAGAAATAAAATGACTTCACTCCTTTTGCCATGAGCACGCGCTCCTGTGTTCCTTCTGGATTTTAGCCCCAAACATTTTTCTTCTCAAATATTTCTTTTCCATCAGGCTACAAAAAGACATGAAAACACACAAACTGAGCTAGTTTGGCTTCAGCGGTTAGTTTGACATCTAAAAAACTGACATTGAAAGTGAAAGTGACATTTATGCAGATCAAGAACCGACGAGTTGATACAAAATAAGGCAGAAGGCTGCAGATGCAGCTGGACTCGACACTCATTTAAAATAAATGGATAAAACCAGGCCACGAACCTATCAATAGCTTCACAGTTTCAAAAGTCCAAATTATTTTGTTCTAACTGGGCCGAGTGACGACGCAGTGACCTGCTCCTGAAGCCAGAAGGAGCGAGCAGAGAGGAGGCCTGGGGAGCAGAGAGGAGGCCTGGGGGAGCAGAGAGGAGGCCTGGGGGAGCAGAGAGGAGGCCTGGGGGAGCAGAGGGAGCAGGGCCGCTCTGGCACACGCTGGGGACGGGGGAGAGGAGCAGGGTGGGCGCGGCTGAAACACGGGTCTGCTTCCTGCGGGTAAAACGTTAGCTGGCACCCGCAGGTGAGAGTCTGGTCGCTTCGTTAAGGGCGGGAGGTGAAGCGGAGGATGGACCACCGTGACAGAGGGGAGAGTGTTCCTGCGGAGATGAAAGCGAGGGGATGAGCAGGGTGAAAGCTTCATGTCTGACCCTTCCGGTGACAGAATGCTCTCGGGGACACCACAGTCTGGCTTGGTTGTAAGCGAGTCATTGCTCCAGCATTTGTGAGCGTCTCCGGCAAACCCAGCATCCGGTCTATGCGCCACGTTGTCCTTCCTCTGGAAATGCATCTCCTCATCCACGTCCGCGCCTCCACGTTCTTCCTCCTTGAGGTTCCTCTCCCTCATTCCCTGTTCGTAAGCCCTCTTCAGGGAGTCCAGGTTGTTAATGGCCAACCACGGTTCAGATGACACCCGGTGTCTGGAAGCCGGACCGCTGCACGGACTCGACTGACTCAGCTCGAACGACGAGCGTCTGCTGCCGCTTCCATGTTTGCCTGCTGGACATAAACGAAATGGTTTACACAGAAAAGCCTGAATCATGACTAAATGATTCTATTTCTACTCTTCCAAAATTATACTCTGGTCCTTCGTCCAGGAACAACTTGGCAAAACACAATGTCGTTCAGTTGATGTAGTTACATGCAAGATTCAATGGTAGAAATTTATATTAAATAATTGTGAGGTAGTTCACCTTTACCTGCCAAAGAACCCTGCAGCATGACGCTACCACCACCATGCCTCACAGTGGGTACAGTGTTATTGGAGTTCATAGTGTCATTTTGACCCGTCCAATGACATTTCTCGTCAGCCAGCTGGTTCTGCCTTTATTACATCTGATTATAAAACATTTGTCCAGATGGAAAGTTGGAAAGTTTTTTCAAATCCTCACTTGTTCCTCTGAAGTTGAAGACGTTTCCCCCCTCAGGTGAGTTTAGCGAGCCCGTCTTCAGGGTGATGTCGGACGGGGACATGCAGGACACGGGGGAGGAGTCCGGAGACGGGGGACGTTCAGGTACCTCCTGGTCACTGGGCCTCTGTCCGCGCCCGTCTCCGTAGCAATGATGATGATGTCGCGACCTTTGGCCCGGCAAGCATCTATTAGCACCTGAAATAAAAGTGTGGCATGAATCATCCGGCTGCTGTAGTTTCCTCTTTTTAGGACTTTTCTCTGTTTTCTCTTTTTTGTTGGGACAATAACCTGCACTGTGGGTTGGTGCTGTGCGTTGATGGCGTAGACCAAAGCTGAGGCTCCAGAGCCGTCCTCTATGCACGGGTCCGCTCCTGCAGCCACCAGGGCGGACGCCACCAGAGCGCCCGCTCTCCGCATACAGCTGTACATCAGAGCAGTGCGACCCTCCTGGTCCCGTGCGTTGGGATCTGCCTGATTATAGGTGATTTATGTTTAAATATTTCTAAAATTCACACTTTAGCTGATCTAAATGCTGTCTGCGTCATCTTCCCACCATAAAAAAACTGGTCTGGGTCTGTTGGTTTTGTGTTGTGGCTCACAACCAAAGTGTCTGTTTCGTAATGCACTTTTGACGAGAGGTTTTGTTTTCCACAATGGCAAAATGTTCAAGAACACACGCAGGTGGATGAAGTACATCAATCGGAGGCTTATTTGAGTTTTTTTTTTTTGTCTACTTTCTAGAGCAAATATGTTAGCACACTTGAAATAAAAAACAAAGTACTAACTTATAAGTAACTATTAAGCCACATATAAGTTTGTTTTAAGACAATGATTCCTTAATATTGATGGAAAAAGTACTAGTTGAAAGTGAAATCATCTTCTAGTGGAACATATTTTTCCATATTCCACTGGGAGATTACTTCACTTACACCTTACACTCTTTCGTCAATATTAAGGAATTATTCACTTTAAACAAGCTCGTGTATCACGCTGAAAGGCTACATATTAATTAGTTTTGTCTTGTTTAGTCTGTGAGAGACATAAACCGCCACACTGCTGTTGCACATGTGTTTTCATGAAAGGGGAAGTACTTGTCACCACAGTTTGACCTTATTCTGCAGCAGGAGATTCAGGAGTTTCACGCTCTCCTTCCCGGCTGGCTCTTCTCTCAGGGCCTTGCAGGCAGCCAGGAGGGCCGTCTCTCCTCTCTGGTTGCTCCCGTTCACCTGGGCTCCACCTTCCACCAGGAGGCGGACCAGACGAAGCTTCCCACGGGAGGCTGCGCTGATGAGGGAGCTGGAGTCCGTCAGAGGATCCCCCATTTCCCGAGAGGCAAAACAAAGTGCGGCTGTATTTCAATTGCTGACCCGGTGAGAGGTTTATGTACACACTTCACCAACGTGAACGTCGTATTCGTGTCGGTGCTTTCGACGACCCCACTGGAATTGGTCTGAAAGTGGAGGATGCAACTCAAATTATGTGCTGAAGCGTCAGTTTATGGTACAATTTTTAAATTGCAAAGGCTTCAAATGATGCATAGTCACACAAATGAATGCAACACCACAGGCAGAAACGGATGTTTGGGGGGAAAGAAATGCTGAAATTTGCAATTCATCAACAAGCTACTGGCTCCACATTGGACCAATCTTCTGATCTGAAACAGTGGAAATCATTCATATTTGTCGGTGTCCAGCAATAAACGTAATTTTTAGGCATAGTCTGTAAATTTCTAGATCTAAATATCTACACATGAAGCTTTTATAGTCAAAGGAGAAAAAAAACATAAGGATATTATTTAAATTGTATTGTATTTTTGTTGTTTTTCTGTATATATATATATATATATATATATATATATATATATATATATATATATATATATATATATATATATATATATATATATATATATATATATATTTTTTTTTTTTTTTGTCACCTACTAAAACTTTCTAAATTAAAGTAGAAGTTGAGAACAAAGATAGAAAAAGTCACTTACCTTCTGGTTCTTTTTGCTGTCAAATCAGCAGGAAAGAAATAATTTCACACCAAAATCATTGTTAATCCTTTGAAAGGTTTGCCTTTGTTTTTAGAAGGAGCACCTTCACTCCACCATGTTGCTGCGATATGCAGAGGGAAAAGTCAGTTTCCCTCTGCTATAATCCCTGCCCTGCTTTTCCCTGTCGGCGCCGGAGAGGTTCGGCTCAGGGTTGGCGTTCAAAGTCAAAAACGGTTTCCAGCCCAAAATGTCACCTGTTGCAAACGCAGCATCACAAAGAGCCAGAGGGCCTTTGATATGAGTCAGCTTTGAACGGCTCTCGTCTGCCTTGTGACCACCATCTGTGTTCAAATAGATACAGGGAAGGACAAAACCAAAAAATAAAAATAAAAAAAAAACAAATTTGAGACTGATCTTTGTGGATCAGGGTTTTGTTTGATTTTAGGTAATTATGATAAATTATTCCAAATTTTATTATCTATGCAATTTCCTTACACTGTTTGGCTTCATACTCATTATTTTTTTTAAATTTACTTTATTGTGTCATCATCATGATTTACTAACTTTTCTCCTATTCTAGTTTATTTCCATGTCATTTTTTTAATTGATTAATTTATATTTTTTCGTGATCTTAGTTTTACGAATTCTCATCAGGACGTTTGAAACTATAATTTTACTATTTGTCATCTATTCATGAAGTCTTCCCCTCCCCATCAGCCTCATCTCTGTTAACAATGCATCTTCTTTGTTAAAAAACAAATTTTGTTTTTTTAATCCATACTTAGCCTTGTAGAACTAACTATTTATTTATTATAAATCTGTTTGGTCATAGATGCTCCCTTATGTATGCAGCACTTTGCGTCACAGACACAGAATTGCAGTTCAGCTGGTTTTATCGGTGTGGCTCAGACAGTCTTGTACTATTTTTTACCACCATCCTTCCAGCACAGACAAAATTTTGCCTTTTTTTATTTTTTTAATTCTGCCGTGTAAGCACCCTCTCCCTCCCCACAAAAAAACACAATAATAGTGAATAACTGCCTCATCCTGAAAATTAGAGTTGTCTGTAACAAACCAGGATGGAGCACATCATCACTGTTTTTGTTATTTCACAATTACAACAGTTTCATGATGTGGCCTTTATGTAATTCTGGCCTTAAGAGGGTTTAAAGGCTAAAACTGTGAAGCTGTAAAAATATGGTCTCGTCTCAGACTTGTATGGCAAGATACTTTACTATATAATTGTTTGACAAGCTCTTTTAAGTTGATGTTTATAACTCAGTTTCTCCCTGTCGCCTAAGCACTTTCATTATATAGAATTTCTAGATTTTTTACTTGCAGGTGTCGTTAGAGTTGCCGCAGGCATTTAATGCTAATGGCATCTATATGACGGTTGCTTCAATGTCACAGCATATTGTCACAAACTGCATATTTCTGGAAAACAAATGTGATTTTGGAAGAAGCAAAAGAAAAAAAAACATCTTCTCTCCATTCAATATATAATTTTATATTATGTGGCATGGATGAACATCCAGTTTATGTTGCTAAACAAAACAACGCATGTTGCAAAATATGTATCCTTGAATAAACTGATTAAAGTCGAACGTCCTGTACGTGTTAAGTACCTGACCAAGGGCATCATCACAAACTCCTGACTAAAAACAAAGTCTGTCATTTGCACCTCAATCCATCCTTTATTGACCTGTACTTTTGTACAGTGTCAGCTATCTGAAACTGATGTTCTGTCATCAGTTGTGGCTTATGACAGTGACTTTGGAATGGTTTTGGAGGAGGAACCTGGTCTGCATTTGATCACCTTTAGTTCCAAATCTAGGATTCTGGGACTGGTCAAATCTGGACTGGATTCATTTTTTCACTAAAAAGTTTATTTTTTTTTAAACCTTAAGTAGTTTTATTTGTTTGTATTTATTGACATGTACTTAAATCTTCTAAAGATTCATATCTATATCTAAATAAATATTTAGATATCTGTCATTAGCTGTCTTTCTTAATGGTGGAAGACCACCGTCATGACTGGGGTTTTGAATTATATCTTATTGTGGCTTGCCATAGCCCTTCGTATAGATGAGTCTCCCCCATTACCTCATGTAAAGGACCATTAGCATAGCGAGACGAGGACGAGAAACCCAACAAAAAAAAAAGAAAAAAAAGAGTGGAAGCCGTTACGTAAGACCTACGCAACGGCTTGTGCGTGTCTCTCGACCAATAGGATCCGCTCTGAGTTCGGCCGTAATAGCGCGCCTCGGAGCAGCAGCAGAAGCCTCACAGCTCCGCGGAGGTCTCTCTTTGGACCCGACTGGCCAATGTTTTGCCCATTTCTACCCCGTCGGGCTGCTTTGGTTCGGAGTGATTCTGAGCGGGGCGGGAGGACTGTGGCGCCATGTCGGCTCTGAGGGAGAAGCAGCGTTACGGACTGTCCAGCGGTAAACTCAGCCTCGGCGGCAACGTCTCTGTTTTCCACGTAAAACTCACTGACAGCGCGGCGAGAGCCATCGGTTCCCTTCGAAACGGCAAGGTGGGTCTTCACGCTGCTCGTCCTCTCGGTGAATTGTGCCGCGTGAACTTGTTACGGGGGCTCTCGCTTGATTTAAAAAAAACGAGGCGGCGGGGTTTGGGGCTGTGAATGTCGGCCGAAGTTCACCGCCTCCCCCCCTCCCGGTGGTGGTGGTTGCTACCAACCAGCCCCCCCTTCATCCCCCCCTCTTTTTTTTTGGGTTGCCAATACATGTTGCATAATGCAACGCGGAAACATGTTGTGTGTCTTGTGAAGCTTGCTTGGCCAAGTCTGAGGGCAGCTAGTCAGTGTGGAGGACAGGAGAAAGAGAAGCTGTGGGGGTGAAGGTTTGTAGTAGGAGGGAGTATTTGGAGACTCCACGCTGGACATTGACTGATATTATACTTTCTTCTAAAACTAGACTTCAGAGTGACTGAACTAAAAAAAAAAATAAAAAATCGACCATTTAACCCAGTTAATCACCACTGAGCCAGAAGCTGCAGGAAGTCTATCGTAACAGGCACTTCCTCAATTCAGCAATTCCTTGTAACGAGGGTTGGAAACTCCTCGGTGAGGAAGTTTCAGCCACCTCCTTGAACGCTTCGACGTAAAACACCCCCCACGCCCTCGATTGATCTCGTCGTAATTTGACCCGAAGTGGTGATGAGACAGAGCGGCGGGGTGAGGGGGGAAATCACCTAAGCCAAGAAGAGCTTCACGGCTCCTCTGATCACTGTTGCGCAGGAAAAAGTAAGACATCTGCACATGCATAAGCGGGGCCAGACCCTGCGCTGGCAGCCAGCTCACACTGCGCACTCAACAGGTGGACTCTCCATTTGAAAAGGTCAGTTAGATTGTAGTCGCTGCATACTTTCCATCAGGGCTGCAGGCCTGTCACTTTGGCTCTGTTTATTTCCCCCACAGGCGTGAGCATTTTTTTCATTTCACTCAATGTGATAACGCATCTTTATTTTTGCTGTGTTTGTATTGATTATCAAAATGTTTTTTTTTTTAACAACTCATTTATTGGTCATAAAATCAAAGGTGAATCTGAGGGAGGGTTGAAATGTTGCGCAGACATGGGTCAAGGGTGTATTTACTGTAAATAAAAGCACTCAAAGAGTTCGTGCTTGAACTTGTTCACATTGTTGTCATATTTCAGGCACAAACCTCAATGCTATTCAGGTTGCATGACCAACACGCAATGAAGGATTTTTTTTTTTAAAGAAAAACAGTGAAGTTGCAGAATATTTAGCAAATCTTGCTTCTTTTTTTTTTGCAAAGGACTGTCTGGAGAACAGTTTATATATTCCAAATGTTATGAACTTGCATTTTAAATGGTAGGGTAATATTTAGCTGGCTGGACAGAGTCTCGTGACATTGGATGATCACCAATCAAATGAAGCTGTACAAAATGTAAAATCTCAAGAGCGTACAGATGAAAAAGACACAGGAGAAAATAGGAATATGTCACAATTGGTAACAGATTTAACAATCCAGTCGCCATTGCAAGGTCGCAGGCTCGACAAGAAGGAAAGCAGAAGAAGGAGCCATGAAGGAAAGTTGTGAAAGAATCAACTTTTAGTTGTGGATCTCACAGATTTTTTGCCGTATTCAGTGGCCAGAATGAAGTCATTATTGAATTACAACGATAATAAGAGTGGCGTGCCACAAATCATGTGCATGGACACAGAATACATGGAAGAAGCTCAAAAGTAAATTTTTCAGCAAGTCATACGTGCGTCACAAAACGAACCTGTAACATCATGTGAAAGACGGTGACATCATCAATCTGTGGGATGTTTTTATTTAGCAAGAACAGGGCAGTTGTTCAAATTGGAAAGGGAGATGAATTGAACTAAAAAGACTCTCCTGAAAGAAAACTTGGATAATCACCCTCAAATGGGGAAACGACCCTAGACCTACAGCCAGACAAACAATCAAATCCAGAATCTGACTCTTAAAGTCCTGCAGCTCCAATAGCAAGAAAAAGGTACAGCAAAGGCACAGAAGTGTGCATGCCACAATTTTCAGATATTTATTTGTAAAACTTAGGAAGAATACTTTATAACCTGTATTTTCTCTGCACTTGAAAATCAAACACTTGCATTTTGTTGGTCTGTTATACAAAAACTAAATGAATTGCACTGGTTTGTTTTTGTAACGTAACAAAATATGGAGAAGTTTATTACTTTTTCCAAGAGCTGTGTGTTGCATTTCTACGCACAAAATCCTGCTTGTCTTGATATTCTTCACAACTCCTGTTTATTTTATTTATTTTGTAGAGCTGGTCTTCCCATCCTACCATCACCTTCAATGGAAATCAAGGGGTAGGATGACCTGCTATTTCTGCTCCATAATCACTGTATTTTCCCTCATACACTCAAAAAGATATCCAATCTCTGTTGTAGAGAATTGCCGTACCTTGCTCAGAAAATGGAAATGAAGCGAGGATCTTCACCTTTGGAGTGACTAACGTCGCTCGAAACAGTCCGCACGGAAGCTTTGACTGCGTCCAGCAGCTCAACGCAGGGTAAGCCACAAAGAAACAGCCAACAAAAACACAAATATCGACTGCATCATTCATTTTGAGCAAGTGAACAGCCGGCTTTTCTAAATAACAGCCCCCGTTGGGACCTTATGTTAGCATTTAGTCATAGCAGTTAATCTTTAACCATATCTTTAGATGTATGGTAGCTTTCCAAATCCTACATGTTTCATGCTAGACTGTGATAAATAGGAAAAAGAAAAGTGCCTTTACTATATCTTCTTGAGCCTTCCTGTTATCTACTGAAAGTCTTTCTCTCTGTTGCTCTCTTGCAGCCTGAACAAGCTTTCCTTGATCTGTTGTAGAAATTATTATTATTAGCTGAAAGCGTTTAGCATGGTACGTTCTCTTATCAAAAGAAGACAACATTTTTGAGTTCCAACTTTTTGATCTAGCCAATTTTTTTGGGTAGAAGGTTCATAAATGTTGGACTTTTTAATTCTCCTCGAGTAAAGAGAAGTTTTTTATTTATTTATTTTTTAAATCAGCGACAGTTGGGCTTGTGGTTAGGCAAATTACTTCCCTCAACAACTAACAGGTCATCTTGTCTGCAGCAACAGCATCACATAAAGTTGCACTGTTGACAATATCTCTGGATTTGATTGCCAGAGGAAACCCGGGAAGCTGATAAGAGAATTTAAATAACGTCAAGGAAGAAAATGAAATTCCTCCTGTGGAGTCCTGACGGATTCAGAACTGATACACTTTCAGAGCGTTTCCTAAAACCTGAATTGGACGCGGCCGGCAAAACGGTCTGGCTGATGCAAGCAGGCATCAACTTAAGCAACTGGGTTCTCCGAAGCAGGTTTTTATTAGGCGCATAAATCGTGGCAGGTTGAATGCTGACTGTCCCCTGTTGTGCTCTCAGTGCTGCCGAGGAGCTGACATGTCTCGGAGTGATTCAGAAGAAGATGACAGTCAACGCCACAGATGACTCGTATGATAAGGCTCGCCAGAGCATGGCCCAGGCCGAGGAGGAGACGCGCAGCAGAGGGGCCATCGTCATCAAGAACGGCGCACGCTACCAGGGTAAGAACGGTAAAGCGCTCGCATGTTTGCAGCGTGTGTGTGATTATACAACCAGAAACCCAGCGCAGGACAGGCGCTTGGCCTGAAGGCTGTTCTCTACTGTGCTTCTGATATCCTGAAAATGCTGTCAGCCATATTGCATTGGTTGCCTTGGAAACATGTGTGGTAAACAGATATTTTAAGAGTTGCTTTCCTTTTTTTTTTTTTTTTTTCTCTTCCTGCACATTTTGTCCCTTTTCGTTCTTGGTGATTGCATTTCAGTTTAGCACAAAAATGGACCATGCAAATCCAGAACAATCAGTCTTGCTCTCTGTGTTGTAGAGCCAGCACTTTAGCTTTTCCTTGTTCTACCACTGTTGTTGCATATCCAACCACCAAACCACATCCTCCTGAGACGATATGTTAGTCACTGTCATCATCTCTCAGTGAACCTACACACACAAACTCACACAAGTTAACATGCATAACTTAGCATGTTAAGTTATGATGAGTCTGTCATTTTAGAGGAAGCTTAAAGGAGGGGGTGAGGAGGGGAATCAACATTATTCATGCCAGGGTTGTGCAACAGTGTGGTTATGTCTTAAATTAGACTGCTACATCTGCTCACTGCGCTCTCTGTGTGTTTGTGTCTTTCTAACCTGACTGTGGCTTTCTGGTGGGGTGAAATGAGGTCTTCTTTTTTTTCACTCACCACTCTGCAAGTGGAGAAAGTTAAGATATAACAACTTCCTCCTCTCATGTCTAATCTTGTCTAAAATGATTTAACAACCTTATTGTTGATGCATATTTAGCATAGACTCTGGGGATTAAGTGACACTTTTTTATTTAAACTGACGTAACGTAACGTAGGATTACCTTTTGAATTAAAAATAAACCTTGAATAATACTAATTTGGTTTTTCATTGAGTTTGCTCTCCTCTGATTTATGCTGTGATGAGGTCATATTAACTGTCACTGTTGGTAATTCAGTGTTTTTTCCAGACAATAATTTGTTGGACACGTATATCTAAGAAATTGCTGCAAAATCAGACTTTGTCATTAGCTCTTAAAGATGTAGTTGCACAGAGTTATTTACTTGGCCTTGTTTTATTTTACTTACTCCTCACGCATCATGTTGTGATTTGGACATGAAT